GCCTCCGCCTACCCCAAGTTGCGGCGATTGGCGGAGCAAGACGAGAAAAACCTGCTGCGGTTGATGCAGCAGATGCGCCCATCTGCAGGACGGCTGAAGGCGTACCTGAAAAGTAAGATTACGTTCTCCAAACACAGTCGTACGTTGCTATGGTCTTAATTGCAAAATGAGGGACCTAGCCAACATGCGCCGCCGGCCGTTTCGGAGTGATCCAACTGTAAGGGGTATGAAGAATGCTCTGTACTCAATGAGGGGTGGCTGCGACCCCGATTTTTTTTACGATGATTCGCGGGGCATGTGCTCTACGAAATCGGTTCTGCGGGCCGCCTGCTTTACGACGCCGGCTCTGCGGACGACGTACTCTGCGTATCCGGAGGTTGTCCAAATGGACGCTACCTACCGGCCCAATAGGCAGGGGTGTGCATTGTACCACATTGTGGTAACTGATAAGCATGGGCACGCTCAGTCCGTGTTCTACGCGTTTGTAACTCAGGACGACGCCGTTAGCGTACGGTGGGTAGTAGATAAATTTAGGGAGAAGATGGGGTCTGCTACTGATAACTTACGCACAGTGTTTATACACAAGGATGCAAAAGAACTGAAGGCTTGGAGGGAGGTTTTTCCTGGAACTCAGGTAGCCGTCCTTATTTGCACATTTCATGTGCTCCAGGCCTTCAAGAGAAAGGTCAGACGCGTGTATAAAGACGTAAGGTCTGAGCATGCTTTTGACCTTTTTCGTAGGGCTGTGTATGCATCCACCTTTAAGTTTTTTAAATTACATTTCAATAGCTTTAGGCAATTTTTCCCCGAGCTCTGGCCGTATATTGTGGTCAACTGGTGGCGGTGCAGACGCCGGTGGGCGCATTACGCTCGGCGTAGTCTTTTGACGTACGGCGACAATACCACAAATAAGATAGAGAGTACTAATCGTGTCTTAAAGCAGTGGTGTAGACCCTATATGTCTTTCACCGACTGCGTTCATAGCATAGTTAGCTTTTTAGATTCAAAGACCGTAGACAACGAGCGGCTGGATGCCGATGAGTACTGCCGCCGCAGGCACTACAAGGGACTAAGCCCGCATGTCACCAAAGTATGTCAAATGCTGACTGGGTATGCCTCAGAAGTCGTGCTGAGTCACGTGTCCGCAAATGCCAATGTAAGGCTTTGTAGTGAGGCCGTGTGTACACATAATCAATTACATTGAACAGAACAATGTTGACCCCTGCTGGGCTCTTTTAAAGAGCAGATGGGTCTTTCGACTAGATGTCTGTGAGATGCCCGTCACTGACGAGAATGTTGACCCGGAGGCCGTAACGTCCTTCCAGGCTGACATTCTCGTCAGCAAAGGGCGAGGGCCGTTTACTGAGGACTACAAGTACAGAGTAGCCATGCGACACGTGCAGCCTATTGTGGAGAAGTTAAAGAGTTGTGGCAGTCGACGCTTCGAGGAGTTGTTGCGGGAAGTTGATGAGTTCGCCAACTGGATCATGAATGCCCCCTCTGGTGGTCTACATGGGTCGCTTGTCGACCTCCTTCCACAACCGAACGCGGATGAAATGGGGGATGACACGAGCGACGAAGTCGTTCGTTGTCAGGTGAGAGAGGAGGGCGATGTGCTAATCGCGCAGTGGGGCTCAAACCAAGACCCTTCTGTACGTGTTTTGCGCAATGACTCGTTGCTCCCCAACTTCCACATTCGTGGCCGGCCATGTATGCGACGCTCCTGGGCGACCCGCAAACCTCTGAGAAGTC